ATAAGCCCGCTGCGTTTTCTTAACTTCTCCATATACCGTCGCCTTGTGTTTGTTTCTGATCTCACTGCCTTTCACCACATTCTAAAGTGCCTTTTGCCTCCTTGACATGCCACTACCTTAATTGCATTCTCCTTTGATTGCTTTTAGTTGTTGCAATTCATCGCACTACCCTTTATTTCTTGCTACACGTTCTGCAGCCTTTTCTTCTCATCATCCCACTGCCTTACTTTCACCTAATCATAATTGTCTATCTCTCCTTATTTCAATGCATTTTGGCTCTTTCTTCTCATCCAATTGCAATTGTTCCTTTTCCTAAACTACTTACGTTTATTTCTTGCCAGATAACTCACTGCCTTTCTTTCTCCCATCTAACTGCCGTTTCTTCTTTTCATGTCACCTCATTGCCTTTTCTTCTTTTCTCCTCATCCCGCTCTTTGGTTGATTTCTCCTCATTGTACTAGTTCACTGCGTTCTGTTACCTTTTTCTCATCCCATTCCTGTTTCCACTGCCTTCTGTCACAATACTTTCTACTGATGTTTTCGTGTTTTTCTATCTTATTATATCTACGTATATAATTTAAACAATTTTTTAATTAGGATTCGCTACTAAAGTGTGTAACGAGGACGGAACATGGTACGACTTAAATAACCGTACATGGACCAACTATTCGGACTGTATGGCGCCATTAGAGGGAGTAAGTATCCTGAATAATAAAGAGCCTAGCCATAAACCGATAAATGTTTAGTTTCTGTGGAGAGAGATTATGCTAATGCTACTTTTCATAAAATGACACTCGTTGGAAAAATGTCATTATTTATTGAATTCTAGGTCGTTGTTTCTAGAAGTAATCCCATTTAACTTGGGACTGTTACTTGTAGCATACCTGTAATAGCATTTAAGTACGTCAAGTAAATTCATGATTTTTCAGATTTATTACCCTTAGATACCTTCTTTTTGCCAAAGAGATATTTGATCTGTATCCTTTGATTTGAGTGCATTAAAATAAGTATGGTTAACAGAATACACACAGTTGTGTTTGTAAAATACAGCGTATGGGGAAATTATTTTCGCCAACCTGACAAAGTTAATTCAGATTACTCCTCGTGAGCAGTGGATTGTATCAATAGCAACTTGACATTTCTATAACATAAACTCATTAACCAATCACATATCTGTGTCATATTATTCAGATGGATTATCACCTCCACTATGAAGCTAATTCCTTTGTGCATGAAAGTATGACCGAGGTTTATCACCATGATGCTGATCAATGACAATCTCATAGTATATAACATAATATGTTATGAATATTGGTAGTTGTTTGTTAACAACATACTTAATGGAATTATACCACCAACTTTAGAAGTGCACGGTGTATATAATATTGTAGTTAAAAATTGGGAGTATAATAATAACTAACCATTACAAACACGTACCCAAATATCACATTATCTTATCACATATCACATTTTATCAAAAGGTTACTTGCTTTAAAATTGTTTACAAATTATAAAAGCTCAAAAATATATTCATATATATGTTTACAGAGTATAGGATACACAAACGTGTACTACGTTGGATACACACTGTCTGTACTCTCTTGTTGCATAGCTCTCTTCATATTTTGCTACTTCAAGTAAGTATGGTTAATTATTTTTACATTGCATTAATGACCTATAAATATTTTTTTTAATGAAACAATAAGAATTCATAATTTGTTTTAAAATTTTAGAGTGGCCTGTATCGTAATTAATGGTAAACAAACTATTATTCTATTAAACAATAATAATAATCATTATTATTACCTCCGCAAGGAGGTTATATTTTCATCGGATTTTTTTTTTCTTGTGTTTATGTGTTCGTGGGTTTGTTTGTTTATATTGCTGGAATGGTTCGTCATGGCCAAGAAAAAAAGTATCAGTTCAGTTCAATTTCGTTTCTCCCACTGATGCCAGTCGCATCCCAGAGACAGTCTTCTAACATCCAAAATATGCTGGGTCCGACTTTTTGAAGAAATTCAAGATGCAAGATACAAGATAAAATTTATTGTCTGCAATAAAAACGAAGAAATTACAAAGCTCGCAAAAATGTACAATTCAAAGAAAATCACATTAGAATTTGGATAATAAGGGTAAAAAGTATCAACATCAAAATTCCATAAAAATCCATAGACAAAACCAATATTTAAAATTAAGGAAGGCCTACAATATTAAAAGATAATGAAAAATGTTATAACAAAAAAGGGTTATAATTTTTATAAAGTAGAAACTACTCAACAGTAATATCATATATTATTTTTTATTATTTTATTATTATTATTTTTTATTAATAATAACAATAATAATAATAATTATTATTATTTTTATCATTATTATCTCTTTGACTGGGTTAGCTTCTTAGCTTGTCCTTGATCACACTGCAATTTTTGTGACGTTCCGGAGTAAGGTGTGTATGTGGAGACCCCTAAAATGGAACGTCCAAGGCCTAACTATCTTAAAAACTGATCAATTGATCTGAATGAAACATTCTAGAATAGTTTGTCATCGTCCGAGGGCCATTGTTTGAAGCCTCTCAATGGCAACCAATAGCACTTAACAAAAAAAAAAAAAAAAAAAAAAAAAAAAAAAAAACGCATTCGTGGTCTAATTCGCGAGTCGAGTGGCCGAGCGGTAAGGCAGGGCGACGCTAGGTACAGCCTTAACATCGGGGCTGGGTACAGCCGCTCCTCGCCCATGGTTCAGTTCGTAGAACCAAGTCTTCTCGGATAAGGACTTAAAATGGAGGTCCAGTGTATACATCTGGCTCGTGTGCACTTTAAAGAAGCCATCGCATCTTTCGGAAGAGTAGGGAGTTACCCCGATATTATGGTTCATTTCAGCCCCTGTCGTTGTGGTATGATGTGAACATGTATCTACCAAGAAGCGCCATTTTACGGCTGCTAGGTAGTCACGGACCACGCCCATACGCAATTCAGCACAGTGACGCTGCAAGTTATGGGTTATTCTCCTACCTTTACCCTTTATCTTAATTTGTTATGATGCTCGCTTTGTAAGCGACAGGTCCCGGGTACGAATCCCTGCGGAAGTTTCTATTATGTTTTCAGTATATTTTTTTATAGGAAATATGCGTGGGTATTTTATACAGGGGAGAATTATGATGTGGGTGGAGGTATGGACTCTCGGAGTGTGCTCTAGTTATTATTATTAATAATGATAATATTTTAGACCTTCGACAATGTTATTCAGTGTCATTAGAGTAGGCAACTGATGCTGTTTAAGCATAGAATTTATCATATAATATAGAGAATAAACTTACAAAATTAATTCGACGTTGGATAATCTATATTATAGAATTTGCTTCAGGCGTTCAGCTGCCTCTAAAGTTCATGATGTTGCTAGCGTTTGCTACATTATTATTCTTTCCATTTTTTCTCAATTTCATTATCATATCATTATCTAAAGCAATAACTGTTCAAACCGGTATCGCCCTTGGCTCATCTAGAGGCTGATTATTTTATTCAGTCTATAAATACAGTATTCAATATTCTTTATGAATTGATAATCTATCACCATCAGCTATGAACATTACACAATATTATAAACAATCGAGTATGAAATATAATGGCGGTGCTACATTTTCCCTCTTTTTCAAATTTGCCATCAAACATTTGAACTGGAACTCAAACAGAAATCAAAATAGCAATGTTCAAAAATTACAAAGCAGATAAAAGTTAATGTAGAGGGATTAGAGAAAGAGAAGATTCATATTATTGTTTTTATTTTCATTTTAGTAATTAACAGTCAGTTTTACTAATGAGTTTATTCATTACTAGAGATATACAACAGAACCTAAATAATAATTCATATAGGCGTATGGGTTTTGATCTTATATAAATATAAAATCATATTCATTCATATTACAGGAGTGTGATGAATTTTACATCTGTTTCTCTCATCCTTCTTGAGGCAGGCCTAATAATAATAATCATGTGAAATTTATATAGCGCATAATGCAATAACTGCCTCTGTGCGCTTTATAATGTTATCACTGAACTAACATATGGAACGCATCCTCCCTGGGGAGCACAATCGTTAGAATCACCACCCAACACTGTGATATCAAATTCTAGTCCCTCAGTTTATATGTGATCTGGAAGGGCCATGTGCCCCTCCTACCCACATCAAATAAAAGTTTATTACTGTATATTCACACATCAAAAACATAATTTTTGACATCGTCAATTTATTAGATGCAGTTTTTTCAGCCCCATTCATATTTATTCGGGTAATTAAGGAGTACCCACCACCTCTCGAACACTTCGGTAGCGATACTTTGCTGACATGCAAAGACCTCTCAATATTGTCTTTCCCCCGGGCCCAATGACTTGTTGTTACACCACTGAATAAGGAACGGTTTATAGATAATGTAATGTGGTCTATGTGTTAATAATATTCATGTTTAGTACGGTATGTATACCGATATCAGGAAATGTATGTCTATATACAACTAATGTTGGTTCAATTGTTTTTACTAATTAGGTCTGTGGCAATCTCAGCCAAATAATTTTATCAATTTCATTGGCTGTTCATTTATGAACATTATGGACTTAAGTAAATTTTCATTAAGTAATAAGCACGGTTTAAGTAGTGTCCTGTTGAAAGAGGCTTTTGTACGAGCTGCGTATACATGTGATATTGTAATGACAAATAGCAAAACGTTGAAAAGTTCGAAATACTTAATCACAAAATATTTGCGTGTGCAATATAAACTATACCTATACCTATTATTTCACGTTTTTCTCAGGAGTCTTGCCTGTCCACGCGTCACCATGCACAAGAATTTGTTCCTAGCGTTCGTTCTTCACGGCGTTACATATATCATTTATAATGCAACCATTGCAGGGAATAGCAACGTATTAGCTAGAGATTCTGTACGTATCTATGCTTAAAATAATTAATTTATCACTATTATTAAGTTATAATATTCATTATTTATAATGTTAATTAACAATATTATTATTAACATATTGTATTGTATTATTTATATGCCTATATATATTATGGTGGTATGGGTTGTATCTTGGCAATTTACATCCCAAAGAGTCATGGTGTTTAATCCATAAATGTTCCCAGATTTATTCTGAATGCTAAACAACATCACTTCTATACAATTGGGATTGAACCCAATAAATTTGAAATTATTCTGGTTTTGATATCCGCTTTCTGATTATAAGATAATATATGATACCAATACGTCGTGTGTTGGATTCAGAACAACAAACTCTACGTGCCTCGTGTTTACAACATGATTTTTTGAAACACTTTTTTTTCTTTTGACATATTTTCTAATGTTTATTCATTATAATTCAATCAGTTTGATAGAATTTACAATTCAGTTGGCCAAAAGCAATCTCACTTGGAGGCACTGTGTAGTTACTAGACCATAGCTAATTAAAACATTGGAAATGATAGTATCTGGGCCTATATAATAGTTTAATATGACTACAAACACAACACAAGCTCTCGAGAACATAGTGAATTTCACTTGAAGAAGAGCATCCAACCGCTCTCTTCGGTTTTTGGTGGCAGACTTATATGGGTGGAATCCAGAGTGACCATCCAACACTGCCCCCAGAGCGCCTCTGCGAGTAACGGCTGGGGATGGTAGTCCTTTATTTTGAGCTTGACATTCTGTATATTAACAATGATAACTTAAAATAAAATAAAGTTAAATAAATTAAATTTAACTAGTTAAAATTTTAAGAATCATTAATTAAGGTGGCATTAAACAAGGTGCATGAGACATAGATCTTGACTTAAACACTCTGCTTCATCAAGTTGAGACTCCATTTGCAAAAGAAGGCCGAGCTGAAGCCTTCAAACGATCATTATATTTGCTCATGACACATTTGCAATTTGCCAAGGTTTTCAAAATCATATACAGATATTACATGCATTTTACTTATTTTCTCTTTCATGACCTAGTTTGATTGTCGGTTAATGTTGATGATGTGGCAATACTTCCAAATGTGCAGTTACTTTTGGATGCTATGTGAAGGTATTTATCTTCACCGGGTTGTTGTGGTAGCAGTGATGTCCAATCAAAATGCAGTATGGTGGTATTACGTCATAGGATGGGGTAAAATATTATTAATCATTCAAACGTTTTAGTTAACTAGATAATACGCTTAACAATTAATGAAGACATTTCACGTAACAGTTCATCTACCGTCAGATTATTTTTCTTCTGCAGTAATGTGTATACGTGTGTATAGTGTTTGATTTGTAAAATTGTATCAATAAGTAGGCCTAAGAATACAATCAGTTTGCTGATATAAATGTACGTTTCACCTGCATTAAATTCAGCATTTTAATAGGTCTCTGCATTCCTTTTCTCTCTAGCATAGTAATTCATGTTTATTATGTTAAATTTGATTTTTTTTTCTTTAAAGCATTACCGATACTGTTTATTGTTGTCTCGGCGCTATGCAAAACGTTTCTCTACGATAAAATTAGCGCAAGTGACAAGTAAGTGAAACATAGTCGTATTGACAGCTACAGACTATCGGATAACATTTTAATATAATGTGCTCTATTTCCTTCGGTACAATCATTTGATATATTAATGAACTCAGTTACTTGTATGTCATTGACCTTATGAATGTCAACTGAACCACTGCGTGAGTTAAAATAATAGCGTGTTCCGAAAATCTTTCAAAATATTAAACACATTCAAAATAATACTTTTTTCATATAACTGAAAAAAGCTTTTCTGCTTCACTATATTTATTGATAAAACACATGCCAGTATTAAAAATGGTGGCCCAATGGGACAAATTGCTTGTAATATAGCAAAAGGCAATAGTATAAAAAATACAAATATCAAAATATCAAAACACAAAGATATAAACATTTTCTTTGAAGGGCTATAATTTATACAATTCTAACATCAAATTAATTTACTGTTATTATGTATTCATTTATATGCATTATATTCAAATCAAGTTGC